ATAATAAAAATAAAATCCAAAGCTAACATAGAGAAGATTCCTACATAATCGGAGGAATGAATAGCTGTATCTGCTCTGCACGTCCAAACTCTAACCCTGAAACTGATGAGCACCTGAAAAATAAAGAAGTGGGTCAGGCCCACATGCAAGTCCTGATCTACTACAATCCAAACAGTAATCCGATACGCAGATACATCCTAGGAAGACTCAACAATATCTAGAGTAGTCCATATATGTATATAGTACACACTATAGGACACTCGCTAGTCCAGTAGGTTTGTCTCAGCCTGAATAGAAGGCAACATGCGAATACGCACCCTAGGGTGGGCATGAGTACCTAAACCTACCAGGGAACAACACCTATGTCCAGTTATCCATCCTAGGCGATATACGCGCCCTAACCATGGTCATGAGACTCAAGCTCATTCCACGGCACCATATAATATATATATAAAGTCCGTACTCCTCCTAATATACAATACCATCCATCTGTGTAGTGGTCTGATATATGTATAACAAATCCATCCTGAAATTCCAGTAGGTTATTCAATTCACAACTGATATGACACATGTAGATGATGGACTTAACCTTTATGATTAATCCATACCTTGATCCAAATTAGGTAGGACTTAATGTTGGAATTAGTCCATACCTAGTATGTCACCGTCCCATACCGGTACATACCATCATCCAGTTAACAGTGTTGATAAAACAGTACTAGATAGTCATCAACCCAACTCCCAAATTATGCACAAACCAAATTAATCCATAATTATAAAACTTAGGCATTCAGTCCAGGCCTAGAAATTATATTCCAACCATTAAATTTGTTATTTATAAAACATAGCATTTACATCATGCGACAAGTCCACTAATTGATAAAATTAACTGATTTGTTACATCAATTTACTTCCAACCAAACATAGCTAATTCCAAGAATTTACTATGCTTAGAAAACTGTGTAAATATAATTTAGACAGTATTAAACCAAGAAATCCAAATTACAGTCCGTTAAATGACAAATAAAGACATGAAATTTACTTATCCAACCATTACCATAACTGATGCAATCTATATCCCGTTTACATGATCAGTTAATTCCATCCATGCATACATTTGACTATACTTCTATATGTTTGTATCACAACATAAACATGATTAGCGGTTTAAGATTTGGCAGAGGAAGCAAAATTCCAAAATCAGTAAACAACAGAAATTTAATTTCCATTCATCCTCCTACCAGTTTTCTATCTAAGCTCGGATTAATTCCATCCTCATTATTCGAATATAGGCATGTTCCCCAACACTTTTATAAGTTTTAAAACTTAAGTCTCAACTTTCAGTAGCTTTCAATTAATTTAAAAAAAAAAAAAACAAACCTCAGCCAAACGAACCACAAAATGCAATTTCTGGACAGTTTAAGAGAGAGCAGGCTCTAGAAATTAAAAGAGCCTGCTCTTCTTTTCTTCAGAGCCGGCTCTAGGCTCATTAGAGCCGGCTCCACAATATCCTAGAGCCGGCTCTACCTTCTAGGAGCCGGCTCTAAGGGTTTTTCAAAGCCTGCTCCCTTTTCCCCTTAGCAGCTTCGTCCGTTTCATCGTCTTCTCTGATTTCTGTGAGTACCAGTTCTTGTAGTAAAATTTTAGTGCATGTTCTAAGGTTTAATTCAGTTCCAGATTGATTGTAAAACAATGATATACCACCAAACTTAAATTGAAAACGAAACACTACATAACGGAGCAAGGTTACAGAACTACAGTTTCTTTACTATCTTTCTGAAACAACGAAGAACAGGTTAAATTTCATGAGTTTAAACATTAATTAAACATGCATAAAGGTTATAATTAAGCCTTAGTTTAATTCATGGAGTCTTCCTAAACATGCACAAAACACAAATTAAAGAGATAGAGAAGAACAAGACTTGCCTTTAAGACTTTAGATTAAAATCTCTAACCGTCGTCTCTATCAAATCCGGCAACGTCGGTTGTGCTAAACTACCTCTACTACTCCTAATTCAGTCCCAAACTCCTTCTTGAATCCCTCCTTTAATCTTTTAAGGTTCTCTCTGTATCTTGTCTCCCAAAAGATTCAGTTACTCTCTGTATCTCAAGGTCTCTCTGTTTTTACAGAATTTGACTTAGTTTTCTAAAACCCTAAACCCCAGTATGCTTATATTTATAGGTGAATCCTGATAACCCTAGGTCCATAAAGATATAACTCGGCCCATAAGTACCTAGGTTATAATCAACGTCGGCTACCCATGTAAATTTTAAACCTAACTTACGATAAGTAAATAAATTAAAAAAATGAAAACAATTAATTAATAACAATTCTATCAGGTAATTAACCAAATAACACAATTTAATGAAATTAACGCCAAATAAATAATTAAAATAGTTAACTCAAATAATCAAGCAATTTAAAAAAAAAAACATTTAAATAAGACAATTAAGTCAATCAACTAATTAAAACACTTAAACAAATAATTCCTATTAAATAATCAAATTAAATCAATTAATTCAACTAATCACACATAATCAAATAAAATAATCACACATAATCAAATAAAACGCAGTTAAATAATAAAATAAAAAACCCAGGAATATCCTTTTAAACTAGGGGTATTACATATATATATATATTTAAATAATCGAGGATTATTAGGGAAGGATTGTACACGTATATATTATATAATATATATGTGTGTGTGTATGTGTGTGTGTGTGTGTGTGTGTGTGTGTGAATTAAGGTTATTTGTATTGTTATTCATATTTGATATATATGGATAGGCCGATTATTAAATTAATTATATACATGAGATATGCATGGAATGTCTACGCATGAGTTGTTTTGTTTGTAAGTTGATTTTCCTACGTAGGAATTGTTTGGTTGGTAAATTAACTTTTAAGGTTTGGTACATGGTTGAATTATAGGCATGGATGACTTACCAAAGACTTAAATCTTTTACCTTATTTGTATGAATAAAATACATAATTGGAAAGCATGGATGAGTTGCTAATTAAAAGTATAAATAAATATATACTTAAGGAGGTATGGTTGATTTGCCAAGATATAAATAAATATATTCAAGGAGGCATGGTTGAGTTGCCAATTTATAAATGAAAATATTTATTATGGCATGGTTGATTTGTCAAAGCGTATTTAAATTGCTACGTGTTAGATGATTAAAATATCACCTATGATTATTGTATGTATAGATTGGATTATGATTAGATATTCTTAAATTAGAATAATCTAGTACTTAATGGTTAGTGTATTATTTTATATTAATAAAATAATATTGGTGTAAACACTGATGATTTGTCAAAACTTAGATTTTGGATATGTGATTTAAATAATTAAAATCATTGTCGGGTTTTAGGTTAAATATAATCTTCCTTTTATTATAATTTATTGTTTAAATGATTAAACAACTCACTAGAATGGAATTAAGGTTAAAGGAATTCTTTTTTAAAAGAAATGGTGGATTGGGATAGGTATGATTATTATTTTAATCATTGTTTAATAGTTTTGAAAATTTAATAAATCTATTAATGGATGTGATTAGTGTAGTATATATAATTGTTTATATATATATATATATATATATATATATATATATATATATCATGCTAGATTAAAGTTAAAAACTTCATTAGGTTTGGTTTTGATCAGAGATGATCTGTTTATTGGTTTTCAGAGGCTTGGTAGAGTGAACTTACTCGTAGGGTTTAACCCACGATTTATTTTTCAGGTTATTAGAAGTTCAAGTCTCAAAGTTGAGGATCCGCAGCTGGAGGACTTATCCATTCTTTCGTTTTTTTTTTTTTTCCCGTAGGATATTATTGTTATTTTCATTTAATGTAAGTATTTAATAATGAACTTCTAGATAGTGAATTTTGGTTAAGGGGTCCTTGAGTTACAGGATTCCCGAGCTGTAACCATTCGAGAGTTATTAATGGATTTATTATTTAATAGATTTTCCTTCCGCGAGTTATTTATTCATTTCTATTTTCTTTTTGTAATCTGTGCTTGTTAAATACTTTAATTGTTTTGATATCCACTGATTTTGTGCGCGGACTTGATCAACCCGTGTTCCAAAATTAGGGGGTATCACACAATCAGTTTTCTCTCTCATATTTTCTCTCTCTCTCTCTCTCTCTCTGTGTCAAAGTTAGTCTCATATATTAATCTCTAGATATATAGACACACACACACATATATTCATTCCACGTTATCAGCACGAGACTCTGTCAACTGAGAAGAAAATTCTATTTTTCTTTCTTACTTCAAAGGGTAAGAAAAATAATTATTTATATTAAACTGTTGTTGTTCAAATTTTACATATAATTAAAGTTGTTGAGCTTGCAGTCTCGCAACTATTTATTTATTTATATTAGAATAAATTATTTATTTATTTATATTAGAATATTTTTGTCCATTCTTGAAAAATAAATTGCTGAGCCCGAAGTCTCGCAAATACTAAATTATTTAATTTGCAAACTCGAAGTTTTGCATATATTAATATACTTTTTGTGAGCCTGAAGTTTCACAAATATTTGGTACTCTTTGCGAACTCGAAGTTTCGCAAAATTTGTTGGCTTGAAGTCCAAATAAATATGAAATTCTTTGACCTGAAGTCATTTACACTGAATACCCTTACAAACCTGAAGTTTTGCAAAACGTAGAATATAAATTATATGTGCCTTTTAGTGTAAACATATTTTGTCTTTTTGCTATTGTTTTGTTTACTGAAAGTACATGATTAACTTTTTGACATTATATAGTATATTTACTGACAAATCATATTATAGTAACTGCAATATTTTTATAATCTCAAATTGATTGTTTTTTTGTGAAATAATTTTAACTATGTTATTTTATCATTTATAGTTCTTTCATAATATCAAATCTTACCAAGCTTGAATTTGTGGCACTTGATATCTCGGGCAAAAACTACTTGTCATAGATCCTTGATGCCGAGATCCACTTGGATGCCATGAATCTCGGAGAAATAATTAAGGAAGAAAATAATGCGTCTCTGCAGGACCGCGCGAAAACTATGATCTTTCTTCGCCATCACCTCCATGAGGAATTAAAAACAGAGTACCTCACGGTTAAGGATCCACTTACACTGTAAAAAAATTTGAAAAAACGATATGAGCATCAGAAAACTGTGATCCTTCCAAAAGCTTGTTATGACTGGATCCACCTGCGATTGCAGGATTTTAAAAGTATAAGTGAGTACAATTCAGCCTTGTTTAAAATCAGCTCACAATTGAAATTATGTGGAGAAAAAATTACTGATGATGATATGTTGGAAAAAACATACTCCACATTTCATGCCTCAAATGTGCTCCTGCAGCAGCAATATAGAGAGCACAGATTTACCAAATATTCTGAGCTGCTTTCTTGTTTGTTGGTGGATGACCAGAATAATGAGCTTTTGATGCAAAACCATCAATCCCGTCCCACTGGATCTGTACCATTCCCAGAAGCGAATGTGTCATCATTTCACAGCCATGGACGTGGACGTGGACACGGATGTCGTGGTGGTCGTGGATATGGTCGCAATAGAAATAATTATAGTAATCGTGGTGGTCATAATTCCTCATTGACTCCTAGAAGGAACTCCACACCGTCCCATCAGAAGTGGAATTCAAATACGACCAAGCAGGCAAAAGAAAAAGCTTTGCAGAACAAAGCTCCTAAGATATATGATGACAAGCCTTGCTCTAGATGTGGAATGAAAGGTCATTGGTCGCGTACCTGTCATACACCCAAACATCTAGTTGATCTTTACCGTGCCTCAATGAATGATAAGGGAAAAGGAAAGGAAATTGAAATAAATTTTGTGGATGACGACTTACCAACTGATATTACTCACTTTGATGTTTCTGACTTCTTTGCTGATACTAGTGGTAGTGTTGATCATTTGATTGGTGATGGAAATGTCCATACCAATTAATGTGTCATTCTCTAGCATGTTATCCCTTGTGTGTTTTAGCTTATCTGTATCAATATGTCTTTATCTAGGTTGTACTAGTATGTTTTTATTTTGGCTATCTTGCATGTAAATCTAGTTAAATATATATTTTGTGTGTATGAAGAAGTATGGATCTGACTAAGGCATTGACTGTACCCAAGATAAATGGTGAAGATATATGTCTGGCAGACAGTGCAACAACGCACACTATACTCCGAGATAGAAAATATTTTTTGCGTATAACATTAGTTGAAACTAGTGTCAATACAATATCAAGTCTAGCAGACCTAATTGAAGGCTCCGGAGGAGCTATCATTGTGTTACCATATGGAACAAAATTGAATATTGATGATGCTCTATACTCTACCAAATCTAAAAGAAATTTATTAAGTTTTAAAGATATACATCTCAACGGTTATCATATTGAGACTATAAATGAAGGGGGCGTTGAATATCTCTGTATTACATGCCAGAAGCATGTATTAGAAAAACTCCCTACTTTATCTTCTGGATTATATTATACAAAGATAAGAGTAATTGAGTCACATGCAGTGACGCACCAGAAATGCTTTGACCCAAATATTTTTATACTTTGGCATGATCGCCTTGGTCATCCTGGGTCAACAATGATGCGCCGAATCATTGAAAATTCACATGGTCATCCACTAAAGAACCAGAAGATTCTTTCAGCAAATGATTATCCTTGTACCGCTTGTTCACAGGGTAAATTAATAGTCAGACCATCACCTTCCAAGGCCGTCGTTGAATGCCCACCATTTTTACAACGAATTCAAGGGGATATATGTGGACCAATTCATCCAGCGTATGGACCATTTCGGTATTTTATGGTCTTAATTGATGCATTAACACGGTGGTCACACGTAAGTTTACTTTCTACTCATAATGTTGCATTTGCTCGACTCCTTGCTCAAATAATCCGATTACGAGCACAATTCCCAGATTATCCAATCCAGACTATCCGTCTGGATAATGCCGGGGAATTCACATCTCAATCATTTGATGACTATTGCATGTCAATTGGTATTCTTATTGAACATCCTATTGCACATACTCACACCCAAAATGGTCTTGCAGAATCTTTTATCAAACGTCTTCAGTTAATAGCTAGACCATTACTCATGAGAACTAAACTACCTGTTTCTACTTGGGGACATGCGATATTACATGCAGCATCACTAATACGCATTAGACCAACTGCATATCATAGTTTTTCACCACTACAACTTATGATTGGTCAACAACCAAGTATCTCTCACTTACGAGTTTTTGGTTGCAATGTATATGTTCCCATTGCACCCCCACAACGCACCAAAATGGGTCTTCAACGACGACTTGGTATTTATGTAGATTTTGATTTTCCATCTATTATTAGATATCTTGAACCTATGACAGGTGATGTTTTTAAGGCGTGGTTTGCTGACTGTCATTTCGATGAGGCTGTTTTCCCTCCATTAGGGGGGGAAAAGAAAAAGCCAGAAGAGCAACGAGTTATTAAGTGGAATGTCTCGACTTTATCTCATTTCGATCCTCGCACAAATTAATGTGAACTAGAAGTTTAAAGGATCATTCATTTGCAAAGTATTGCAAATCAATTACCCGATACATTCACTGACACAAATAAAGTGATGAAATCACATATACCAGCTGTAAACATTCCAGCAAGAATTGATGTCCCTGTAGGACAGTCTGTCAATGTTATTGCAAATGCATCTAAGACACGCCAGAAGCGTGGTAGACCAGTCGGTGCAAAAGACACTGTTCCTCGGAAGAGAAAAGCACAAGAGAAATCAAATAAAGAAATTGGCACTTCTGAAAAGGTCACATTTGCAAAAGAAATAACGAAAATGATTGATCAATCTAAATTTTATAAGCAAGTAGCCCCAGAAGATATGCATGCCCCGGAAGTAGCACAAGCCCCTGAAGAGGCACTGGTACCTGAAAATAATGAGATCTCAATAAACTATAGAGAATTATGGGATAAAAATATAGTTGTTATTAATGATATATTCTCCTTTGCAGTTGTTCTTGATATTGCAGGTGATAATGAGGATCTTGAACCTCAAAACGTCGAAGAGTGTCGATGTAGAAATGATTGACCAAAATGGAAAGAAGCAATACAAGCAGGGTTAAACTCATTAGCAAAACGTGAAGTATTTGGACCTGTAGTCCAGACACCTGAAGATGTCATGCCTGTAGGGTACAAATGGGTATTTGTAAGAAAATATAATGAGAAAAATGAAATTGTAAGATACAAAGCCTGACTTGTAGCCCAAGGTTTCTCACAGAGATCTGGTATTGATTATGAGGAGACATATTCTCCTGTGATGGATGCAATCACATTTCGCTTCTTGATCAGTTTGACAGTCTCAGAAGCACTGGATATGCTTCTAATGGACATGGTTATAACTTATTTATATGGATCACTAGATAGTGATATATATATGAAAATCCCTAAAGGATTTAAAATGCCTAAAGCAAATAGCTTGAAACCACGTACCATGTATTCGATCAAGCTACAACGATCCTTGTACGGATTGAAACAATCCGGATGCATGTGGTACAATCGACTCAGTGAGTATTTACTAAAAGAAGGATATGTGAATAATCAAGTTTGTCCATGCATTTTTCATCAAGAAATCAAAATCTGGATTTGCTATTATAGCTGTATATGTTGACGATCTAAATCTTGTGAGAATTCCTGAAGAGCTCACCACTACTGCTAATTATTTAAAGAAAGAATTCGAAATAAAACATCTTGGTAGAACAAAATTTTGTCTCGGCCTGCAGATCAAACATTTACCAAGTGGAATTCTTATCTATCAATCAACATACACTGAAAAAGTCCTGAAGCGCTTTTATATGGATAAAGCTTACCCCTTGAGTTCTTCAATGATTGTTCGATCACTTGATGTTAAGAAAGATCCTTTTTGTCCTCTAGAAGAAGGCGAAAAAGTTCTTAGTTCTGAAGTACCATATCTTAGTGCAATCGGTGCTCTAATGTACCTTGCGAATTGTACCAGACCTGATATAGCATTTGCAGTCAACTTACTAGCACGGTATAGTTTTGCACCAACTCCAAGACATTGGAATAGGGTCAAACACATTATGCGTTACCTTCGGGGAAAAACTGATATGGGGTTGTTTTATTCAAGAAAATCAAAACCCAGTTGATCGGATATGCAGATGCAGGTTATCTTTCTGACTCACATACAGCCCGATCATAAACAGGGTACTTGTTTACTTATGGTGGTACTACTATATCATGGTGATCTATGAAACAAACCATGATTGTAACTTCCTTAAATCACTCTGAGATACTCGCAATCCATGAAGCAGGTAGAGAGTGTGTTTGGTTGAGATCTATTATACAATATATTCGAGAATCATGTGGACTCTCCTCAATCAAAGATAGTCCAACAATATTATATGAAGATAATACAACATGTATTGCACAGGTAAGAGGAGGATACATAAAAAGTGACTGAACCAAGCAAATTTCACCAAAATTCTTTTCCACACACGAGCTCCAGAAGAGCCATGATATCGATGTTCGGCAGATACGCTCTAGTAATAATCTAGCAGAGTTATTCACTAAAGCGCTTCCAACTACAACATTCAAAAAGTTAGTGGATAACATTGGAATGAGGAGGAGTAATTGATCAAAGAGGTATTAGCATACTGTACTCTTTTTCCTTCGTCCAGGTTTTGTCCCACTGGGTTTTCCTGGCAAGATTTTAATGAGACAATTTTAATCTATGTAATACCATACACAAGAATACTGTACTATTTTTTCCTTCACTAGGGTTTTATCCCACTGGGTTTTCCTTAGTAAAGTTTTAACGAGACATATTCTTAGTGTAGTGTAATGGACCCCAAAGGGGAGTGTTATATATAAATGTGGGGTCCACTGGTAAGGAATGGCAAAGCAGCTTGTTTGATAAGCTGCTTGTTGTTGCCCACGAGTTATATAGATATATGTACCTGAGAATGGAAGCTTGTGTTGATAAGCTGAAAACTGCTTGTTGCCTATGCCTGAACATGCCTATAAATAGGCTAATGTGTATACAAGTGATGGTATGAAGAAATAAAAGGCAATCAGTTTTCTCTCTCTCATATTTTTTCTCTATCTCTCCCTCTCTGTGTGTGTGTCAAAGTTGGTCTCATATATTAATCTCTAGATATATATACACACACGCATATATTCATTCCATGTGCTACTATTTTGAAGTCAATTCAGAGTAAAAAAACTAAGGCCATATTTGGTAATCGATTTTTTTTTTATTTTTTTTTATGATAATGTACTGTAGTGAAGTAAAAGACAAAAATGTGTTTGGAAATAATTGGTAAGATTTGAATAATACCGAAATATTTCTGAAAAAGTGGCCAAATTTAGAAGCACCTAATTGGTGTTCCGATTGGTTTGCACTGTAGCAAAAATACTTGGCTTTTAGTATGCGCTTTATTTTTTATGTTTTTATATATTTCTATACTGCAGTGATGAACAGTAATTTGTTTTAATAAAAACAACTCTAATATGACATTTTAAAACTAACAATGATATTTTGCAAATTTATAATATTTTTTTACCAAATATATGTTTTCATGTTTTTGTTTTAAAATATGTGACAACAAACTTTCGATTACTATTAATAATACTCTATCACAAAACACTTATTACCAAAAATTAAAAACAAAACGTGGACCAAACAAGTTATCACTAACAACATTATCTAAAAACACGTGTATTTTTAATTAGAAATTTTTACATATAAATGGTCAGATGGACCCATATGTCAAAGTCTTAAAAGGTTAAGAAAAATGAAGTTGAATTACTCACCATAATAAGTTGCTTAAGAAAACCCTTCACATTTGAACCAAATTACCTTAGTATTCCCTGACCCTTTCACCCCCAAAACATCTCCATACGCTCCCTCCCTCTCCCATCTCTATTGCAAGAATGGACTTACCGGCGATGACGGAATAAACGGCGTGAAGAGCAGCGGCGAGCAAGGAACAGCGACTGGCAAGAATCTGACCGACTGCGAGCACTGTTCTGTGGTGTGGCGAGCAAGTAGTATATCGAGGCTAGCGATGCAGTGGACTGAGAGGTGGAGCGGCAGCTCAGGCGGCGGCGGAGGGACATGGACATGGACATGGAGTTTCCGGCAACCCACCACCGCACCACTGCCCAAGCCATTCAACAGACCCCAATTTCTAATTTGAGGTCTGCAATTTCGAAACTCTAATTTGATTTGTTCAATTTTAAAACCCCAATTTGGATGGTTACACCTTCTAATTCTTCTACCAACAATCACTACCCTCGAATCTTTCATCCAAATCTCCTTTGAAGGAGAATCGGAAAGATGGAGGCCGAGGCTTCTGATCTCCTGCCATAGCGTGATATGGTGGTTTCTCCCTAACTTCCCCTCTGTATACTTGAAGCCATCTTGGATAGAGGTTGAAGGAGAGAGTGAGGGGAGTGAGAAAAGCCAAAAAATAAAATAAAATAAAATAAATGGTGCTGACAATGGGAGTTCGTGGTCGGCGTTGGCGGATCAGTGTTTGGTGGAGAGAGATGATGTGGAGAGGGGGAGGGTAGGGATGAGTAAAAAAAAAAACAGAGAAGGTAGGTAACAAATTAAAATAAACGGATCAATTTCATATTTTTTTTTTTTTTAAATTAAGACTTTTATTTCATTAAATATGTATGACCACATGTAAAGATCACTTTTTTCTTTTCACACATATAATATTTTTTAAAAAATTAAGACTTTTATTTCATTAAATATGTTTGACCACATGTAAAGATCACTTTTTTCTTTTCACACATACAATATTTTTTTACTTTTTATTTATTTGCTTTCAAAAGTCTCAATAAATATAACATTACTAAATATGTTTTTCAATAATGGATGTGGTGAGAAAGAGGAGTGAGAGTGAGAGTGAGGAGCAGGGTGTTGAATAATTGAGCTAATATGACCTAAAAGACATTTTGGTTGCACACTGGGATCGAAGACTAGTCTTTGATGTGTACGTGTGTTTTTTTTTTTTACTGAAAAGAGAGAGAGAGTAATAATTTTTCATTGGAAGAACTCCAGTGAAAAACGATACATCATTTTGTTTGCGTGTCTGTTAATGATAAATGGATCGGAATATTTTTTCGCGTACCATTGTTTTCATATTATCACAAAGAGATGAAAGAAAAAACGAAAGTAGTGGTTAGGTGTGAATAACCCTAATGACCAATTCCTATGTAGGAGAGTAGAGAGGTATTAAGTTCAATTTTCCACATAAATCTGAAACACATTGAATTTGAAGGCAATGACTGAAAACTGGATTGCTGACTTCTTCGATCACATTTAAATTTGAGCACACAGTCAACCATGGTTGGCTGGCTTTCTAAGTGACAAGTGTATATGTATATATACATATATTATTGGTAAAGCAAACTCACGCAATTTTACCCATGGACTCAACACCTCTAAAATGTGACTAGTATATTGGTACCCCCACCCCCGAAAAACTATCTATTTGTGTTAGCAGAGAGATGGAATACATCGAATTTTGTAGTAGAAGCATTATTTGTTTTTTTGGCCAAGTAATAAAGTTTGATCGGTTATGTTTAAACAAATATTTGGAGAACCGAAGCAAAAAAAATGATACCCTAGCAATGTTAAGACATTTGTAGTTTTGATCAAATTGCCATTAGAAGTCTGTGTTCAACTTCAACAATTGGATGTGATGCAATGACGGATTTAGGAATTCATATGGGGGGATTTATATAGAGTGGTTTTTTCATTATTTCAACGGGGGCAATTTCAATTTTTTTTGGGTATAAATGCAAAAAAGTATAAATTTAGAAATATAAAATGTAATAATAAAAAGTTTCAGTGAGAGCAAATGCCCCCACTGAGCCCTTCACATATCCGTGCTTGGATGCATCCTATAATAAACTCTCTTATCCTGAACAATTGCCATTTTAATAATTATCGCCATTATGTGCTTGTGTAAATAGAGAGACACAATTATAAACCGAGTATTTTTGTTATTTTTCCAACACATTGAAAATTCTGGAATTCATATTAGCAAGAGATACAAATCTGTAAAGTGATTGTATATACATAAGAGCGTACTTGTAATGGACTATCCACTGAGCCCAAGTTGTCAAAGCTATTTTGTAAGCTTCCATGCGACCATGTCCCATATGCATCACATGAAATTCTTACCCACATCTATATAGTGACTTATAAGTTAAGTAACATAAAGGATGTACGGGCGCGAAAGTAACAAAATTTAAGGCATAAAATAGAAACGAGAGCAGAAGCGTGAGAACGATACCCGTTTAGAACTTAGAACCACAGTGTGACTTAGCTTATAACCTATATAAAATAGTAATCAAGTAGCTGGAAAACGTGATTTAAGTAAAAATTCATGGTAAACGTTTTCCAAGAAATAATATATTAGAAGAAAAGGCTTCCTTCAAATGAATAAGCTTTTGTTTTAGCCACAAACGAGAAAAGAAAAAACATGGTAGTAATTAACAAATATATTTTAAAAGATCACTCAACTGCCATTCATAATAATAACATTAATACAAAGAAAGCATCCCAAAAGACCAAAACAAAGGACCAATATCTGATTCACTAATGCAAGTCAAACACTAAAGAGAAAAATGTATCCCTTTTGCCATGGGATCTTTTTTTTATACAACGTTTCAGAAGCATTATACGTTCATATGGCGTAAGGATAAACAAGATGATAATCAGATTCAAGACTCCAGACAACATGTACAATTTGTCTAATTTCTGTATACCAAATAATCAGAATTCAGATTGACTGGGTAGAGATCAGCGGTAGATGTGGAAGAGGCAGTCCATGGCTCATCAACTGACATACTTTGGATCAGGCTGTCTTTACTCAAGTCAGTTTCATGACTGTGTTGGTACACATCTTTCATTTCCTTGACATTCATGGCGCTACTTGGAGCACCGGGAATCAACTCCTGAGCAATTGCTCTACCTTCGAGCATGCTGACCACTGAAGACATGGTAGGTCTAACTGCTGACGAGACATCGGTACACAACAAAGCTATCTTAATCATCCCCAACACCTCTTCTTTGTTGAAGTCTGGTCCCAACCTTGGATCGACTAGCTCCAGCAGATCCCCCTTCTCCTTCAATTCAAGTGCCTAGGAAAAATATAAAATTGCTATCTTAGAATTCAAGTATGATTGGGTATGCATTGTGATTGGAAGTAGAGGGTACCAAACCTCTCTTTGTCTCAATGAAAATGAAATAAAAACTTTCCAGTGTCGAACAAAGAGCATATCATTGTGATTTCAGTACTTAGTATACCACCTAGGCAAAGTTTCACATGATATGAAATGAATGTGAATTATCTGCCAGCCAGTTTCGTACAAAGCGATATTCATCTTTGAAGAACTAATATATGTTACAATGAAATGTTAAATTTCTTTCAATGCACAAGAGGTTAATGGCAAGTTATTTTAGAAGCATTTTCTTGATCTGCTTTATTTAAGCAGCAAACACAGCTTAAAATATATTGACAATAAAAAACAAGTAGAAACAATAGATGCAAGAAAATGAAATTACCCAATCAAGAAGGTTAAAGCATTCCCCCTTCGAACCGTGGCTGGTGTTATTCCTCCCACTGACAATTTCCAATGTGACAACTCCAAAACTATAAACATCTGCTTTGTCAGTCAGGTAACCCCGCATTGCATATTCAGGTGCCATATATCCGCTGCACAGTCATAAATCGTATCACATTCTTTGTGAGATATATATGTTGTCAAAAATGTTGTTCTTACTAGATGAAATATAATCTAAGAAGTACGGACACAAATACGACACGACACAGACACGGAGACACTGCAAATCCAAAAAAATTAGGACACTTCAAGGCGGGGACACGGCGAATAGTATATATATATACACACACACACATATATATGATGCAGAACTTTAAAAATGACTGAGTGTTATTATTTTTTATCAACCTCACAATGAAAAAAAATACAAATCATAACTCATAACTAATAAATTATAACAGAGCAATGTTACAGAGTTATAAAACCAAATAAAAAATAAGACATTAAAATAATAGCTAGTATCATTTAATCATCATTGCAACTTTACTCCAAATACAAAAGTATAGACAGAAAGGACTATTAAGATTCATGACTGTTTAACATTCAGGACTTTACTGTTAGCACTTAACATTCACAAAAACCTAAAGACTAGTCTCAAAAAAAGATACAAAAACAAGTCAAGTATACTATCATCTATTTCCATTCAACATTTGACCTAGGACTTTTACCATTTATAATACCAAAAGGGTAGTACAAAACAAAAAACAGAACATATCAGCTTTCAATAAAATAAAATAAAATAAAAATTTCCAAACACGCGGAGTGACCGTGCCATGTCCGTGTTCGCGGAGTGTCCTTGCCATATCCGAAAATTAAAAAAAAAATAAAAAATTTCAAACACGTTTTTTGATGTGTCTGACACGTGTCAGGGCGTGTCTGAAGCGCGTCCGTGTCGGACACGTGTCGGACACGGATTCTTCGCCCATTTTGGAGTGTCCGTATTTTTTAGAATATAACTAATACTTGGCGTACGGATTCTTCGCCCATTTTGGAGTGTCCGTATTTTTTAGAATATAACTAATACTTGGCGTACGTTTCAACTTTCAACAGGGCACACCCATATAGAAGGGATCAGTATATATGTGAGTAAAGAAATCCGAGTGAAAATAATAATAAATGAAAATAATGGTAGTAATAGCTCTGACTATGAATTAGAGTAGGTGACTCACTAAGTTCCAGCAATCCGAGTGCTTATGTGGGTACTGTCCTCTTCATGAAGTCTGGCCAAACCAAAATCAGATATCTTAGGGTTAAAATCCTTATCAAGCAGCACGTTGGTGGCCTTGATATCTCTATGGACAATCTTTAGTCTCGATTCTTCATGAAGATAAGCCAAACCTCTAGCTATACCAATGCAGATCTTTTGCCTAGTTGGCCAATCCAATTTCAACTGCAATTCTTCTGTGCCTTCAAATCATCAAGTACATAAACATAACTAATCAGCTAAAGCATACATGTATAAAAAATGTCTGTCGGTCTATTTGTGGTCTGATACCAAAAGCAATAAAGCAAGGCATGTGTTTTAAGTTTACCCAATAAAGCACGAAAAAGACTGTTATTTTCCATGTACTCATATACTAGCAACAATTGATTTTCTTCAATACAGCAACCATAGAGCTTTACAAGATGAGGGTGCTGCAATGCAGAAATCATGCCTATTTCATTCACAAATTCACGGTTTCCTTGCTTCGATTTGGACGAAAGCTGCTTCACAGCAATTCTAGTGCCGTCTGACAAAAGTCCCTTCATTTAAAAAAAAAAAAAAAATGATTTTCGCATTAGATTTTCTTTTTTAAGGAAAGAGCATCACTATTATAGCTTAAAACATTAAAATGATAATGAAAGTAATCCTACCTTGTAGCCTTCTTAGGTTGTAGCCTTTGGGCCGTGGGCTTTTGCCCCTCGTTGTATAGTTTCTCTTTTCCTTTTTAATAATTGATTTACCAAAAAAATAAAAAATAAAAAAATAAAAAATAAAAATCCTACCTTGTAAACAGGGCCAAAACCACCCTCTCCAATCTTATTAGCAACATCAAAATTGTTTGTGGCAGCTTTTATCTGTCGTAAGGTAAATGTACCAGTTGGTAGGTCAAGACCCTTCAGATCTGTCAAAGAAATTGAGTTAGATAAGTAGTATGTTTGAAAAACCGGCATTTCTAACATTTTAAAACAGGTCTTTACACTAGATCCTGATATCTGTGCCTAAAAGAGAACCAAACCGTTGCTGCACCATGTGTTAAACAGAGTGATATCCAAACAAAAAAAAAATTCATAAAAAAATTATTGTTCAAGTGTGTACAGAGGCATCCATATACCGTTACACAGCACTCATAATGACAAAACTATATATAAAACATAACAAACAAAGTCATTTAGCTTCCTCATAAAGGAAGAATATGATGATGATGATGATATTTAAAATTACTATTTCTCTACCTTGATCCATTGTATCAGTCAGTCGCAGGCAGCCTTTCCACCAAAGGATTCCCAGAATCAGGAAGGTAATGGATGCAACAACTGCAACCACAATTCCAGCCACAGCGCCTGCTGATAAACTTTTTCCATGTTCTGATAATGGAACAAATTCAGCTTGCGGAAACAGAGAAATATAAAGATAATTTTGTTCTCCTTTTATTGTTACTATTTCACAATATTAAGATATTGTATATGATACTAAGATAAAAACCAAAAATACTCCTCGTGAAAATTCCCATTTTGTTCTTCCCAAAAAAACAGTAATGTAGTGTCTAACCATGTGAATAAATTTCCTCTCTTACAATCCGTATGTTACATATATGTGAAAGTAAACTTGAAACCGTATTGTGGAAAGTATGGGGCAGTTCCCAACCATTAACACCATGACAAAAAAGTATACAACTCACCACGATCCACAGAAATAGCCGAAATTAGAGGACCATATACACCTTTTTCAGGGATATCTGTTGTCCCTTTTCCAGCCCAGTAGAAGCGGATTTCCAACGTACCATTAGTGACTGCTGCAGTAAAATTTTTTACGATTGCCTTACCAACACCACCCGCTTCACTTTCAATATTGAAATCCTTCAACACCCGCTCTCGCTGCAAAAATTTAATTAAATACAACTTTAATTTATATGCTGTGACAAGGGCTTAGATTTCAGTTTGATATTAATTTAGAAGCAGGAGAAACTCAAATTATAGTCCAAAAACTGAATTGTCTCAAAAAAATAATAATAATAAAGAAGAAGAAGAAGAAAATCTTGAATTTGGCTGGGTGTAGATCAAAAATCTAAATGGGCCAAAGTAGATAAAACAAAACAAAATAAAATCTTTTAGTAGATGATCACTTTTTATTTTATAGATAGCGGCCTCTCATCTCATTAAACTGTATCAGATAAATAGGCTTCTTCTACCAATTGTTGATAAGAAAAAAAATCTACCTGAAGGTAAATGTCAAATATGCGCCTTCCAAGACTGGAATAGTTTTTGTCAGTAAACATGATCTCTGCAAAGTGAAGCCCTACTGTGTAGTTTCCAGTTCGCAGACAGAATCCATAGTAAGTCAGGGAGAGGGGAGAAAGTCTTGCTGTCATGTACAACTTGGAATTTTTCATAAAGAGTGTAGAAGCACTAGTCCAAATATAGTTTTTTGCAGTGAGGTTGTTGCCCAAGAAGTGACCAGTATTGCTAAATGCCCAGTTCGTTCCACCCCGGGACTGGGAGAAGAATGATGGTCCACCTTCATCGTCATCACCTTCATATATGGTGTTTTTATCGACAGTTACTTCTTCTCCACCACAATTTATATGGAAAGAAGAGTATCCTGAGACCAAAAATTAAGTTTATTAGTCACCTGCATGCGCGCCCGCTCCCAAATTTATTCACCTTCTCAATTGATATTTGTTATACAGTTTCAATTTCAAACTGAAACCTCTCTAAATTTTGAGACTAATCTATCAAGTGGGTGTCCAAATACGCATTGCCAAGTCAGGTACGTTGTCACACTTACTATCTTTCACATGCCAAAATACTAAATATTTAAGAATTTTAACTTCAAATGCCTTATAATTACTCTTATATATACGTACAATTTTGGAAGAGGAATAATTTAATTTAATTAGAAAAAAAGAGAATTTTTTTCTTAAAAATTGAGAATTGCATAAACAGGATTATTGTTCACTATTGCCGCATGGCAGGACAACAGCCCTAGTTGATCAACTGTCGCATGTTCAAAATCAACATCTTAATTTTATTAAAGAGTTGTGTATTAGAGTTAGAGTTAGTTATCTTCACCTACCCTCATTACTATATATATCATTATCATGATATGATTTAATTACTCTTCACACATGTCCTCTCCTATATAAACCCCGGCCTCTGTACTCTTATATTATCTCATATCAATAGAATACATTGTATTTCTCTCTATATTTATACTTCTAACATCAACAGTTAAATTAAAATTATAAAAGCAAATAAAGAAAAAGAAAATTATAGAAAAAGAAACCCAAAGAGAAACACATTTGCACTCGAGCCCGATTTATGGTGACTCGGAGAGAGATGAAAACTTATTTATTACTACTATGCAGTTGGAGGCAGAGTGCTCCATGTTTACCGGAATAAATGTTTGTGGCCTGTAACGGTCAAGTTCAGCATTCTTTTTATGTTGTGTTGGTCTATTTGGGACTCTGCTATGTTTGGTCCAGTGTTAACTTTTGGCTAACATTCATTTTGGGCCTTTGTACCTCTCCTTTATTTATATTGAAGTTTATCTTTCAAAAAAAAAAAAATATAAGTGACCTAGAAGAATCTTTCCTTGCTGTAGCAAAATAAATAATAAATAAAAAATAAAGAGTAAAAATGAGAACTTTGTGACACTAACCATCTAAAAGAGCAGATAACATTTTTACTTACTTCGTTTACAAACAAAACTTCTCATGCATGCAACATTTCCACTGAAAAAGCACCATGGCATTAGGAACTAATTAGTATCACGTATTACAATTTTTGTAATAACAATATAATAAACTGAAGCATGTACTCAGTAACGTAATGCAAATGATGGAGAATTAATTTTAAGATGGAAATTCTTCTAATGCTTTAGAAATTTACGGTGTGTTGCCCGCTGAAGAGCTGCTGAACAAGTTTCTGAAGAAAATAAACAAAGTGAAAATTAAGTTAGGCTGGTGTGAAGAAAAATAATAATGATTTAAAAGTAAGAACTGGCAAGTAATCTTACACTTTCTGACATGTTGAAGATTGTGCTGATTGATCAAGTGTAAAGTTGTTGTATGAAAGATCACTGCATATATTATGATCCTCTTTAATGAGAATGACAATAAGAATTATGTTTCATGCATTTTAGATGGTTAACTGAAAGAAATTTAAAATAAATATTAATAAATACATCCGAGTCCTTGTTAGGTGTCTGTATATCTTAGTGTTAATTGTACACAATGCAAAACATAAATTTCTTATTTTCTCTGAGCTGTGTGTTACACATAACCAGTACGTAGCTGTGTTGTTCATCTGGTGGTGGGATTAAATCAAATCAAAAATTAATTTCCACATTTATCATTCTAATTTAAGAAGAGCCTATGATCCATTTGTACCTTCTAAAGTTTAGATGGCCAATTTTTCCTTTCTTTATAGGTAAACAATAAAAAGGTACTGCAGAACAGCCCCATAATAACCAACAGAGAAAACAGTAATAACAAAGGTAAATGATCTTTGAAGAGGAACTTACACGTTTCGAACTTTCGACGTCCAAGCAAGGTTGGATCCATTTAGCAAGTTTCCGGTTAAATAACTGGAGAAAAAAAAAAATCGATCTTAATAAACAACAGTATCAGAGAAGTATTGGGAGAAATATGATATATATTCAATGTGTTACAAGAGAATATATGTAGACTTTACAAGAGAGTATCTCTCAGTTAGTTCCTTTATCGAAAAAAGCAAATAACAAGTTGAGATATTCAAGTTCAATAACTAGCTAGTTGAGATATTCATTGTCAACTATTTGATTTGAGGAAGCAAGTAACAGCAACTTTGAATGAAAGAAATTTATGCACAAATAGCATGTGATGTGGTGGAGCTGATATTTTGATACTCCCCCTTAAGATGGAGCGTGGATGTCGAGAATACCCATCTTGCGAATGAGTCTTAAGAAAACATCCTTGCCAAGTGGCTTGGTGATGAATATATCAGCAACTTGACACGACGGGGGGATGTATCGAGGAGACAATAATTTGTTTTGAATCTTTTCCCGCACGAAATGACAGTCGATTTCGATGTGCTTTGTTCGTTCACGAAACACTGGTTTGTGAGAGATGTAAAGAGCCGCTTGATTATCACAAAACATGGGCTGGTCATCTGAGATGTATGTGAAATGCTCAAATTAGCAAGAAGATATTTTAACCATTGAAGTTCACATGCAAGGGTTTCCATTGATATGTATTCGACTTCTGCAGAAGATTTAGATACAGTTGCCATTGATCCATATGTGTAGTATGTAGGGATTGCATGAAATGGCTAAGCTGGTTGACAGCATAGGTGATATCGGGTCGTGTGACAGCAAGATAAAGAAGATGACCCACAAGGCGACAATAAATTGTAGGCCAGGTCTGGTAATAATGTGCCAGCCTCTGTAGCAAGATTAGATATTGTTCCATAGGGAACTCAAAAATCCGACCAATTTTGGTTCCTGTATCAGATAAAATTTTAGTGGTGTATTTGTGTTGGGTAAGGAAGAGACCTTTCTTAGAAAGGCCTACTTCGATGTGAAGGAAATATTTTAATCTCCCCCAAGTCCTTAATGTAGAACTTTTGTTCTAGAAATTGCTTCAATTTCTGAATAATGAGGGGATTATTTAATGTGATAAGAATGTCATCGATATAAACGAGCACAAATGTGGAATTAGAACCATTAATCTGAGTAAATAAAGAATAGCTAGTCAGATTTAGATTGAGTGAACCCTGCATTGATCAATGTCGTAGAGAATTTGGCAAACCATGCCGAGAAGCCTGTTTGAGTCCATACAAGGATTTATTAAGTCTACATACTTTTTGCTCCCCCTGTTTGGCGAATCTTGGGGGTAAGGTCATGTAAACCGTCTCATCTAAATCCCCTTGTAGGAATGCATTATGGACGTCCAATTGATGAATGGACCAATTTCTGATAGTATCAATGGAAACAAGCAAACAAACAATGACTAATTTAGCCACAAAAGCAAAGGTATCATGGTAATTTGGCCCTCAATTTGATTGTATCCTTTAGCGACCAAACGGACCTTGTAACGCTCAATGGAACCATCTGAATGATACTTGATCTTAAAAACCCATTTACAACCAATAGGCTTATGATGTAAGGGTAAAAGAACAAGTGTCCAAGTATGATTTTTTTTTTTTTTTTTCTAGTGCTTCAATTTTGGTAAACATTGCATCTCTCCATTATGCAATTTTGACAAATTGAGAGAATGATTTTGGTTCAACTGTAAAAGACACTGTAAATAAAAAAGCTTATGTGGGATTAACAGAAACTAGTATCGGAACATACAAAGTAACAGGATATTGAGTATAACTTGTAGTCACCTTAAAGTCCGATTAAATGAGTTTAGCCGAATGAGGGATAGTGGGGTAATGAAAATCTTTGAGATGGGGCAGTGGGTGTCTCTTTCTGGAAAGTCGAGATGAGTTAGGAACAATGGGTTATGGTGCTGAAGTTGTGGACTCAGGATTTTAATTGGGTGAGATTGTGGGTTATGTGGAAGGATGACAACACTTGATGAGGTTGGATTGCAATAGGGGTTGTGGGATAACTTGAGCAGAGGAAGTGGAATATATATGATGCGTAACTAAATTTGAAACTGCATGTGGAGATGGTGCATAATTGAATGTGCCATTGTCAAGGACATGTAAAATGTAAACTTCCAAGTTTGATGGAGAGGCTAAGATATCTTGATAAGGAAAAGTGGTCTCATGAAAGATCACATCATGGGATATGTAAATTTCCTTAGAAACAATATCGAAAATGCGATACCCTTTTTGAGCATGACAAAAATACTCGGTTTGCCTCTTTGATCAAATTTATTTTTGATGTTAGTATTACGAGCAAAACATAAGCAACCGAAAACTCGAAGGTTGGTATAATTTGGCGGTGTGTGAAACATGATTTCATGTGATGACTTACCACCTAACAAAGGGGTGGGAATTTTATAGTATATATTTATTGAGAATGGGGAACCCACCTTTTGACTTGTTGACCAGATTTTGTGGTGGAGAATGAAGCTACATTTAAGTGATATGTATATGTGTGCAGAGAGAGAAAATAAACCAAATGAACCCAATTCCCTCTCTCTTTCTGCTCCCACTTCTTTTTCTTCATTTCTTCTCTTTTTAATTTTACTTCAACCATTTTCCCATCATTTCACCTTCAATCTTTGAGATTTTGGACTTGTGGTAGAAGAGAAAGATAACGGGGACTACAATAGCTACATAATGTGACGTTTTGCAATTTTCCATTCTTCCAGCATTTTTTTACTTTTCAGATTATTTCATTTTCGTGCCTCGTTTTACATGCACACACCGGTTAGCGTGCCACGAGCGTTCTAAGAGTGGGGTGGAACATTTCTTTGAGTTTAGAACTCTTAAAAATGTATTTAGGGTCATTTTAGCATTTTTCGAGTTTTTGGTCCCAAAGGCCCCGTATGGGTCCTATGTTCGGAATATTTTTCATGCGCAGGTAATCTTTTTGAGTCCACGTGCATTTAATATTTATTAATTGGTGTATATTTAGGTAATTATGTGTTTAAATGTATAATTGTGGTGTATTTAGGGTTCTATATGCATGAGATGACATTTCGGTCATTTTATAAGTCAAATGTGGACCCCACCTTTGACAATGCATGTGATAGAAGGCATGAGAGTCATTTTTTTTTTTGCACTTTTCCTTCTTCCCTAGCCGTGGGTTTCTTCCCTCTCTATATCTCTCTTTCTCTCGCTACAAACCACTCATTTAAGCTTCAATTTCACCCATTTCCTTTTGGATTTGAGGGTTCGTCGGCGTGTCTGAGTGCTGGTGGTGATGGTTGCCCAGCGACTCTTTGGTTCATGTAGGTGGTCGTCCAAATTGTTTGGGAATAACAAGAAGTTGTTAAGTGCGCCTTCTTTTCTTTTCTTTTCTTTTTCTTTTTCTTTTTTTTTTTTTCTTTTTTAATGCGGGATGTTGTTTACTGTGTTAACACCAACCACTCCATTGAACCATTCAATGGAGTGGTTGGTGTTAACACAGTGAACAACAAAAGTGGGTTATTTATCAACAAAATTGACCATAAGAAGAAAAGCAAAAAATTATGGATCATGAAATTCCTTACATGTAATCTGTGGTCGATAGAAGACCAAGTGTGCTTGGAATTTCTCCACTTAGTCTGTTAAAGCTGAGGTCTCTGCAAGAGAAAACAACAAAGTGGGTTATTTATCAACAAAATCTCACAACATGCTACTAATTTTGAATTTTGCACGTGCAGTTTTAGTGAGTATCTAACAAATATAACAAGAGAAGATAAGTATGTGATCAAAAAGCCAATTAAGAAAATAAGAGATGCATGAAAATAGAGAATGGAAAAGAAAGGTATAATTCCACTAACAAGGTGTCCAACGTTGTCATTTCTCCAATATAAACAGGTATTTGTCCCGTAATATTACAGCTCCTTAATATCCTGCCATGCAATCACACACACACATGTATATCACTTGAAAACACAGGAAACTAATAATAATAAGAGAATATAGAAACTTTCAACGTACAGTATCTTCATTTTTGAGCTATTACTTTTACGAGGTGGAAAAGGTGTTTCACTTCCACTTAAGTCACTGATTCTCCTGCATTTTATTTTTATTTTAATGAAGAATAAACACACATTAGATATTGTTTTAAATAAAATGGGCAAATCTATGAGATTAGAAGAATTTACTTACAATTCAGACAAATTTCCCAAGAGAAAAATTTCAAAAGGAATTGGCCCATCCAGACCACTAGCCTGAATAAACCTGTCATAATTTTATTTAAATGAATGGATAAACAGAGAACATCTTCCAAAGAAAAATTGAAATACTAATACAGGTAAAAGACGTCGCACAATTTTTCGAGAGTTGTCCAGCGTTGGATGAAATTGGGAATCTTTCCCGTAAAGTTGTTTTCATTGATCCTACTGCAATGTGTAAAAGAATAAGTTGAACAATTGATTTTAGAAACCCTAAACCCTTAAAAACTAAAAATAATCAACTTTTGATACATACAAATCCTTCAAAGTGGTAAGGCTTTCAAATGTTCCCGGCAGCTCCCCAGAGAAATTGTTTGAGCTTAGAAACCTTCAAGAAAATAAATAAATAAATAAGCCAATGATCAATTGATCTCAAATTGAACGTACCTTTAGAAGTATGTCTCATTTATATTTAAATCACACATTCATAAAGTACACATACACTCAAAGCTAACACCAGAAAGTTAAAAACAGGTGAAAGGGTCTTACATTTTCTCTATGAGAGGAAGACTCCCAAGGTTCGAAGGAAGGTCTCCAGAAAGCTGATTGAACTCGAGGACTCTAAAAACCACCAAAATTAACATCTTAAGAGAATAAATTTATATCACATGTACCTAAATGTGAATGAAAAAAGTTATCCCAAAACTTACAAGGTATTGAGTGTGGTGATGTTTCCAATTTCTTTTGGGATTGAACCCGTTAATCGGTTTCCAAGCATTGTGCTGCAACAAAACCATCTTGTCAAATATTGTTGAACAAGAAAATTTATAACATATACTACACACACACACATATATATATATATATATATAGAGAGAGAGAGAGAGAGAGGAGTTGATACATACATGGTCTTTAGTTGCATGGAACCCCATTCTGGAGGAATAGTACCGTAAAGGAAGTTGCGGGTGAGGTCACTGTATGAAAGAGTGTGTGTGCAACGATTGATAATTGTTTAGTTCGTTAATGATGGCTACATTTGTGATTAAGTAGTCAAATGGGTAATTAATAAGAAAAGACAAGGGCATTTCAGGGATTACAAAGTTTATGGGGTCGAAGGTAACTTACATTTCTTGGAGGTAACGGAATCTCGCCAATTCAGGGGGTAGTTTCCCGGAAAGACTCTGACCTTTCAGAACTCTACATTTCAAGTTTCAAACCTTCATATAAAATAGGTACATGTATACGTCTATAATATATATATATATATATATATATATATATATATTGGCACTCCATTTTTTTATATTTGCACTCTAATTTTAAAAGAAATGAAAATAAAAATAAAAATTATTGAAAAGAAAAAAGTATCTAAAAAATTATGTTGAATAAATTGCCTTTTTGGACCGGACTGAAAAAAAAAAAAAAAAAATTCTCTTTTGGCAGAAAAAAAAAAAACACTATTAAAATATATCATTATTGAAGAAATTATCTCTTTTGTCGAAATTCAAAAAACAAAAAAATAGGATTTAAAAAGTTCTCTCTTTTGATAAGACCAAAAAAAGAATTACTTTTTTTTGGCAGAATTGAAAAAAAAAAAAACCCGAAAAAGGTTAATTGTTTTGAATAACTTAGTTACTATGTCTTAATACTTTTTTATTTTAGAAATTCTCAGTTTTTTTTTTCTTTTTTTTTTTTCTAACGATATTATATCTGGAAATTTTAAAATTTAATGTGTTAGAGAGACAATACATATATATATATATATATATATATATATATATATATATATATATATATATATTCAACTTATGGATAAGTTCAAAAATAAAAGACTTGTATCTGTATGTGTGTATCATGCACAGGGTCAGTATTTGACACCGACACATTTCATATTCAGAATTGAAAAAAAAAAAAAAAATTAAAATAAAAGGATAAATGAAAAAAGAAAAGATAGTCGACGAACATGTGGAGATCGAGAGAGAGGAGAGAGATTACATGCTAACAACATGGCAGACGCCGTCATTGGAGATGGTGCAATTACAGGTTACATTATTCTTATAATGGTCATTTTCTGGGGAAACCCAAGACGTTTCTCTAATATTGCATGGATTTACACTGAAATTCCAATCAGTCTTTCCAAGCGTCTTTGCTACTTCTTTCAATAATTCCACTGCAAAAATGTAAAACACAAATGCTTTTATATATATATACAGGGAGGGGGCAATTCTCCCACTGAATATATATATATATATATATATATATATATATATATATACATATATTGTAATGTATTCTACTTTTTTATTCATTTTGATATACAGTATATATATATATATTTGGGAAAATTACATATAAATGGAGTCAAAGTTCCATATTTACTTAGAGGCTGAGTCAAAGTTCCATATTTCTCTAAAATGGATTGCTGAGGTGGCACATGGTTTTTTACTGTTTAGAAATTGTGGTGCCTAAAATACCCTTCCGCGGAGGTACTACTTTTTCTTCGAAGGTACTACTTTTTTTAACTGAAGGTACTACTTTTTGGTGTCCAGGTACCATGTTTTTTAAACACCCGCGAAGGTACTACTTTTTCTTCGAAGGTACTACTTTTTTGAACTGAAGGTATTACTTTTTTGAACTGAAGGTACTACTTTTTTGTTAGGGAAGGGCATTTTAGGCACCACAATTTTCTAAACACTACTACCTTCACTAAAATTATTAAAAAAAATTATACTATTACCCCCACACTATTTTTTTTTAGCTCCGCCCGTGTGTATATATATATAATTATTTTTCAGAAGCCAAAGGCGCCCCTGTGTATATATATATATATATATATGTTCCAATTATTTATAAATCTTATATACACAGAAATATATGATCACTTACATACATATATATGTACCCCTCATTTCTTTCTTCGTATAAATGAAACCTTACTATTTTGAAGTTTATCAAAATCTAAATGAAAGAACTCAACAACCGCACACACATACCTTCATCTGTTGGAAGAGTAGGTTCGCCAGATGCAAAAGTGGCCAAGCAAATTAATACAATAACAGAAGAAGTAAGACGACGTCGTGAGAAGAACATGTTCTAGTAAATTAATTAGGTACGTAGAGCTAAAAATGAGATGATGAAATGAACCAAATGCTTAAATGGATTATACTAGAGAGAAGTGGCATGGGATGTTCAATATATAATTGAGCCAATTAATGTAAGTAAGAGACATATAGTTCCACAGTGGTAATACTTTTCTTGAAGAGAGAGAGAGAGAGAGAGAGAGAGAGAGATAGAGACTTAGGGAAGACTTAATGGTTATAGAGAGAGGGAACAGTTAATGGCCAGTAATTCTTTTCTTGAAGAGAGAAAGAGATAGAGAGAGTGATCGAAGACGACCTCATCGCGTGGAAGACGACACATACATGCAGAAGGAATATTAGTCTTACCAACATTCAAGAATCTGAACTCTTTTTTTTTTTTTTTTTTTTTTTTTGGGATAGGTGGTGGATTCCTGATAGCTCACTTATTGTTTAGAATGAGGATAAGGTTGAAATGATCTGCGCCAACCACTGAGTACACAAATAAATTCCAACCCTCCAATCAAATTATAATTTTTTTGTTTCCACTCAATCAGTTACACGTGTATAAATAATTGTTTGGCAGATACAAGGAAAGCATAATCTCTCAAATACGTATGAGATACAATTAATTAGTCAAGCACAATACACAATATTTTAACATGGTTCAGCGATCAATTATACATGTATAAATAATTGTTTGGAAGACACACGGTGACCGTAATCTCTCAAACATGCATGTATGGAGATACAATCAGTCAATCACAACACACTATATTTTAACGTAGTTCAGCCAATCCTCTTGGCTTATGTACAAGGAAAATTATTAAGAATTAAATAGAGAATATATATACAACCAAATGTTCAACCCTACTCACTCATCATCTTTTGATGCTACATTTCTCCTTCAAGATTTACATGCACTCTCTGCTCTTCTCACAACAGTCACCAAACCCTTGTTTCTTCTCTACCTTTTTCAGCCAATTTCATTCCTAGCTAGTAATAGAGTCTTCAATGCATTCCTTATTTGAATAAGGATTATCAAGCATTGTTTAACAAGTCTTCAACTCATAGGAAAAAAATATATATATATATATTTTTTAATTAAAGGAGCATATATATATATATCCGGCAACTCTTTGGACAAAGTACAATTGGTTCGATCCGGTCGAACTTAAGTCCGACCTGTCAAATTTCTTCAGCATTCAACAATCTTCAAGAATCTACTGGATTAAAAGAGATTAAATGCATGGCATGCATGATAAACTCTCTCACACATCTTTAACAATCACAATCTTAATTATTGTCTCACCAATTTTATCTGTTAGAAAAACAAACATATGCTTGTATAAATGTGTGTGTGTGTGTATATATATATATAGTAATATTGTAAGATCACGTCCAAGGGTAATCTCGTGTGGGGAAGAATCAAATAGGGAAAATTAAGGATTTATATATTTTGAATTAATTGCATAAAAAAATAGTTATGTTGCTGTAATACAAATGTTGTAGTTGGGAAGATTCAATAAGAAAATATGTCATCGCTGTAGATACATGACAGAAAATATATCATGTTTTCATGTTAACAAAACCAGGTGCTTTAAAAAAAAAAGTCCTTTTTTCTTCATAAATTTAAATTTAAGTTTTTCTTTATTTCTTGACAAACACATTAGCGAATTGTTGATCAAGATCGATGAGTAACAGCTATATAATCCCGCGTTCGCCATTTCTAAAGAAAGATTACTCAACTGCCATCAATAATAATAACAAATCATCCCAAATGCTAAAATGGATTATACTAGAGAGAAGTGGCATGGGATGTTCAATATATAATTGAGCTAATTAATGTAAGTAAGAGACATATAGTTCCACAGTGGTAATACTTTTCTTGAAGAGAGAGAGGGAGAGAGAGAGGGAGAGGGAAGACTTAATGATAATACTTGTCATGAAGAGAGAGAGAGAGAGAGAGAGAGAGAGAGGACCGGAAGACCTAATGGTAACAGGGAGAAAGAGAGATAGAGAGAGGACCGGAAAACTTAATGGTAACTGGGAGAGAGAGAGAGAGAGAGAGGACCGGAACACTTAGGGTCCGTTTATTAACGCTTTTATTTTCTTATTTTTACTTCCTTCAAAAGTAAAATCATAATTTTCATTTCTGAAGTTGAAATACAAAGTAGAATCATGTTCAATTATAATTTATGCTTTCAATATTTTGAAAGTAAAAAATTAGAAATCAAGTTCAGTAATTATGATTTTGTTTTTGCAAAAATTCCTCACCAAAACCCATCTCATTCTCTGCAAGTATCTTCTCTGTAATTCTCACCACTAAAAACTCCGAATGTCCCTGTGCTGTGGTTTGGAATGAGATCAAAATCCGTCTTGAGTAGTTACCCTTCAGTAGCAATCGCTTCCAAAAGCTTACTTGATAAAACTTCCCAAAGCTTCCTTTTTCTCCATTGATTTGAAGCTTCGGATTGAAACTCAAATATAACAAGTGTGTAGGTGAAAAGACTTGACACACTATCCTTTCAAACGAACACTCTTATCTCTCTATTTTCGAAAATCAGTAGCTCTGCCCATTTCAAAAGAACATACCAACAACTAACAAGAAGAAAAGAAAACCAACAAACCCATCAAACATCTATGTATCTCTTTGTCTCGCTCTATATATATACATACATTGGTATATAGGTGTCAATCTCTCTCTATATACTGTGTGCTGATTCTGGAATCCATGGAAACTAAAGCCTCGAATTTGGATCTCCATATCCGATGCCAGAATTCATGGACAAGCTGATTGGGAATAGAACTTTGGAATATGAATTGCTTGTGGATGCGAATTTGGGTCTCCCTTTCCGATGCCTAAATTGGGTCTCCCTCTCTAAAAAAAAATAAAAAAAAGGTTTAATCTAGGTTTGACTATAATGGTTATAGAGAGAGATGAAAGTGAGTTTTAGAAAGAGAAGACCCAACAAAAGACCCAGAAAACCCAAACTCAAACAAAGCCCCAACAAACTATTGCAATCACAATGGACTGCGATTCAAAGACTCCAAGTTACAGTGGTTGAGTGAAAGAGAAAACTCCAAGTTATAGTGGTTTAGAGAAAGAGAAAAACTCTGATTTCGGTGGTCTGAAATTCGTCAGCATCGTCTTGTCTTCGTCCAGATAGAGAGAGAGAGCAGTACTAATAGAAAGTCCGGTGGGTGGTGTCTTTCGTTATTGCCGGTGGGTGGAATGAGAAGATGATGATAGAGAGAGAGTTGATGATGGGTGATGGTCGGGTGAGAATGGGTGATACAAGGTTGATGGGTCAATGAATGCTATGTTGGAAATGGGGGCATTAAAAAACATAAACTTTGGATAAGATTTGAAATAGATTCCGTTAAGAATTTTTTGCGGATCTCTAGACGAGCACATTTCTCTCCGCAAGGAGATAAATGTGGTATATTTACTTTCTCAAATCCGTTTTTGGGTGAATGAGAAATTAGCTCCAAAGTGTGGTGTTTTGATAAGCCTAAATGGGTATGCAAAATGTGGGAAGTGTTTGTCCTACATGGAAAAAATGTTGAAACCAATTGAAATTTAAATAAGCCAAATTTGGGCTTGGGCTTGGGCCTAATTGTAAAATTCGATTATTGTTTTTACTAAATGGATTTTTGGATTGGGCCTTTATTTTTGGGCTGGGCTTATTTAAATGGATGGTTGGTTTTTTAATTTAAATTAAAAGTTAGTTTTTTTTTAAAGGGTTGCATCTATTTCCAAAGGGTTGCATCTATTTTCCAAAGAGTTACATAGGGATGCAACTTGTGATGAACCAACATGACCCATGGTTGCACCCATACCCAAAAGGGCACTTTGCTTCCTATAAATACCCCCCTTTGGGGTTATTTGCAATCACATCAAAATTCAGAGAATTCTTCTCTTCTTCTGAATTTTCTTCTTCCTCTTTCTCTCTTTAGTTTGTAGGTTTGAGCCTTAGTATTTGGGTTCGAGCCTTAGTCAATCACTCTGAGTCCTAGTCCGAGTTCAAGTCAGAGAGTACTACACCGAGCCGGTTCTCCTATTCCTTTGGTTTGTAGTGCTACTACCGAAGGAAGACAAGTCGTTATATCCTCGGAGATAGACGCCACGAGTCCGTTAGCACCATAGCGGGGTGAATCTGTCTTAAGGACATAGAATAACATTCTAGCCTCGACTTTTAATCAGGTTCCTTTATTTATAGTTTTTTTATTTATATACTTTTAATAAATTTTTTTTATAGATTATTATTTTAATTCAATATATATATAAACATTATATTTTTACATAATATTTAAATAAATAGTACTATAGTATATAGTATACTTAGACCATATTTTGGACAACAATCTTAAGACAGATTCCGCTTATACTATAGTTTAATTATTTAAATATTGTTGTTATTTTATTTCTGTAAATTTGACTGTGGTCTGTATATTTAATATATAATCAGACAAATGGCAAATATGAGTATTACTATGCCTAATGTTCTCGTCAGTCATGGGGAGAAGCCCGAAAAATTCAATGGGGCGGAGTTTAAAATGTGGCAACAAAAAATTATGTTCTATCTTATAATTCTGAATCTAAGCAAATATCTAACTGAGATTGCCCCAGTGCTAGATAAGGGTGAGACTGACATTACCAAGCTAGGAGCTATTGATACATGGAAGCATGGAGACTTCCTATGCGAGAACTACATCCTCAATGGATTGGACAACACTTTATATAATGTGTACAGTCCAATAAATACTGTTAAAGAGCTCTGGGAGTCATTAGACAAAAAGTATAAAACAGAGGATGCTGGATTGAAGAAGTTCGTGGTCGGACGATTTTTAGACTTCAAAATGATAGATTCCAAGACAGTCATGAGCCAAGTGCAGGAGCTCCAGCTGATCCTACATGAGATACATGCTAAGAAGATGACATTGAGTGAATCCTTTCAAGTAGCTTCAATCATTGAAATCTGCCACCTACTTAGAAAGATTTCAAAAATTACTTAGAGTATAAGCTCAAGGAAATAGGGCTCGAAGACATGATTGTCAGGCTAAGAATTGAAGAAGATAACCGCACATCTGAAAAGAAAGCCGGGAATTCTTCAATGATGTCAAAGGCAAATGTAGTGGAAGCTGGACAGAAGAATAAGAAGTGGAAGTACTCTGGCGAAGGTCCCAGCCAAGGAAACTACAAGAGGTTCAGTGGGAAGTGCTTCATATGCGGCAAGCTAGGACACCGAGCTAAAGATTGTCGTAACCGCAAAGTATAACATAACCCCAAGAAAAAGACCACTGAGGTGTATATTGCTGAGGAAGATAAGTTAATAGAAAATGTGTCAGAACTAAATCTTTCAGCTGTGATTTCTGAAATCAACCTGGTGAGCAATAATAAAGAATGGTGGGTGGACACAGGAGCTACTCATCATGTTTGCTCTTAAAAGATGATGTTCACTACCTATG